ATGCCGTCTAACCAGGACCATCCCTGTGCAGGTGCGAGTGGAGGGTCCCGTGAAGAAGCTGCCCGAGGAGGAGGCCGAGTGCTACTTCCACTCCCGCCCCAAGAGCAGCCAGATTGGGGCTGTGGTCAGTCACCAGAGTTCCGTGATCCCTGATCGGGAGGTGAGTGGCGCTTCTCCTTAGTCCTCTGGGTGGTAGTGCTTTGGCTCAGCCCCAGAGGCTGTCCCCAGGGGATGCCAGGGCCCTCTCTCTCCAGCAAAGTGAAATGGATGGTCTCCCTGGGGGACGTGGATTTGGCGAGCAGGGAACAGGCCTCCTGTATCTGTCTGACCCTCCCGTTGGACTGTGCCCCTAGAGGCCAGAGGCCAGCCGGGTTTGCGCACCAGTGTCCCCAGCACCTGGCGCAAGAGCACATGCTCAATAAGTGGTGATTAAGTGAATCACTGACTGGGTCTGGCCCTTCCTCCATCTCCTTCCCCTGGACAGTATCTGAGAAAGAAAAATGAGGAACTGGAGCAACTCTACCAGGAACAAGAGGTGCCGAAGCCAAAATACTGGTGAGTGATACCTGGTGGTCATCTAGAAAGGGACACTGGGACCCTCGTGCTTACTTAAAGCCACCCTGTCCGTGCAATTACAGATCTCCTCCTTCCTGGCAACCCTTGTTTGATGCACGCCAGCAACTCCCTTCACGGGGCGCTGGGATGGCGCGGAGGGTGGTGGGGTTGCCTGGCTGGACAAACGCGCAGAGCACCGAAGCCTCTGCTTCTCCTTGTAGGGGTGGCTACACCCTGTACCCCCAAGTAATGGAGTTCTGGCAAGGCCAAACCAACCGCCTGCATGACCGGATCGCTTTTCGACGGGGCCTACCGACAGGAGACTCCCCCTTGGGGCCCATGACCCACCGAGGGGAGGAAGACTGGCTCTATGAGAGACTTGCACCCTGACTCCCAATCTGCTGGCGCTGACTGGAGCTGGGATCCGTGCTAAGAGAGGGTATGGGATCAGGAGCCAGGCCCTTCTAAACTCAATGCATTTCCCTTCCCACCTCTTATATTCAGGGCCCTTCAGAGAGTTCTCTGTAGTCAGCTGGTCTAGTGGAGTCTAACAGTGGCATGGACGATCACAAATGTAAAATAATCCCATAATTATTCTTGACCTTAACTATGATTTATTGGAATAGCTCCCTCTAGGGGTAGCATCTGGTGTGATTCCCTTTTCTGGTGACAGGGCCTGGGCTCACCGCAGCCTTGTCTGTTATCACATGACAGTCGTACCGGCCAAAGCCCGTTGGTCCCAGCAGAAGCACCTGAGCCAATCTAGCCAATTGTTTTTTCTCGTCACCAATTTGAAATTTGAAACGGAGGGACTCAGAGCATAGGAGTGTCTGTAGCCAAGTCAATAATGGCCGCCTAGAAGCAACGGCCTCTGGGTGCTGCTCTTGCAACTCCCTCAGCAGTCCCTGGACCCCTCCTTCCTGTGTCTGGGCTGTGCAATTCCTCCTCCTACCTCAGAAAACCCATTATCTCTTTACAAAAAAAAAAAATCTTTTTTTTCTGCTTAAACTAGCCATTATCTATTTGTGTTGCTTGCAACGAAAAGTACCTTAACTATCTCATTTACTAATAGGATATTTTTATACCACTTAACCCAACTGATAGCTGCCTTCCATTAGCACAGCAATGTGGAAAAGAGACTGAATTTATTCTCTGTAGCTCCAAAGGACCCACAGGTGGAAGCTGCACAGAAGTACATTTCATCTCAATATGGGAAGAGATTTCAAACAATTGGGGCTGCCTAGGAGGGTGTAGGTTAGGTAATGAGGGTTCTGTCACTGTCAGACAGGAGTTTTGTGCTGGTACCTACGTATCAGGAAGCTTTTCATCAAGCTTTACTTTCCATATTTGGTTATAAAAACTATATGTATGTGAAATACATATATACATACATTTATATGTATTTTACTTTCCAGGTATAAAATTAAATAATAGAAATTATACTTTTCTGACACTCACACATCCTTTTACCCCCACCCCCACCCCCAACTGATGATGACTCCTAGATCACTGGTTTTCATCCTCACTGGAATTACCGAGGAGCTTTAAAAACCCTGGTGCCCAGACCCACCCTCAGAGGTGATCTGACCAGTGTGAGTGCAGCCCGGACTTGGGGAAGGTTAAAAGGTCCTCAGGGAATTCTGTGCAGCCGAGGTTGAGACCCCCCAGTAGTAGATGCCTGCTACTTGCAGTGTGGTCCACAGGCCAGCAGCAGCAGCATCACTTGGGAGCCCAGCCCAGACCCACTGAATCTCACTCAGCTTTCAACAAGACCACCCCCGCCCCCAGGTGACCCAATGCACTAGCCTCAACTTCTAAAGCAACCACCTCCCACCCTCACAATTGGATTCTTCAGTCACCCTTGGCCGAGGCCTGTGCTGAGCTGTAGTATTTGCTTTCCTCGAGCCCAAGTCTGGTGACCAGGGACAACCTGGGTGAGTGGCCTACAGGCTTCGGAGAGGAGCCAGGCTGGGCAAATGTTTGCTGTGACTAAGCCGGGATCAGAGAACTGACTATTTGTACACATTGGCCCTGAGCTTGCTACCCTGTAAACTGCTTCATTCCACTGCATGGGCGTGTGCTTCCGTGTCTGTTACTGACTCCCTCCTCCAAGGGCGGCCCTCTGGGTGTTGGCCCCCCCTTAAGCCTGGGTGCAAGAAGGCACAACAGTAATCCTGTGGCCACCTGCGGGAGAGGGTGCTGGGGTGCCCTTCCCTACCGTGTCCTGTTTGCATTGTTGGGGGCTGTGTATACCCCCTGCTTTGGGCCTGGTCTCAGCTGTTCCTCTCCTCTGTCTGACAATCACTGTGCCGAGTCTATAATAAAAGCTCGTCAGCCACGCATGATATTAATGTTCAATCGAGCCCAGTCTCGTCCCCGCCCCCCAGGATTGAGGGGAGTTGGGGAATTAAGCAACTCCTCCCAACTGGCTTCTCCCCTCTGGGAGGTTGGGCGTCCAGCAGGGGGAGCCCGAAGCCCAGGGTTGGCCCCTCCTGGGCAGTGCAGGCCAGTTCTGGTCGGCCCTCCCTGCTCCCCCTTTCCCCCTTGCCACCCCTGGGTCTTGTCCCAGTGAAACTGTGGTCGATAACCCACAGCCTCTCCCGGCTCCCGCACGTATCTGCACCCTCGCTTCCTCCTCCTCCTGCCCCGGCCTCGTGAACACTTGCAGCCGCCTTGGCTCTGACTCCCTGGGCAGCCAGATCTCCCTTTGGCTTTTAGTACCTCCCCCCACCCCCATTCATCCATCCCCCAGCTTAGGGATATATGTGGAGTTTCCGTGGAAGATTCCGCGGACATCACTTTGGGCCGTGGAGTGGGGTGGCAAGCATGGGGCAGGGGGGCCTGCAGACTCTCTCACCTAAGAGGGGTGGTGGTGCATGCGTTGCCAGCATGAGATAGAACCACGGGTCAGTGGCCCAGGGCCCAACCTCACCCCCCCCTTGCCTCAGGGAACCTCAGGATGGCTGAAGTGGCAGGTCCCTACCGTCTGGGGTCACAGGGGACACTCACCTTTGAAGCTGGTTGACTTTCCCTCACTGGTTCCAGGGTCTGGGCAGCCCCATCGGATGGTGCTTGCCGTCCAGGATCCCGAGGCCCAGGCATAACCCCACCTCCCCTTCTGCAGAAGGTGACTGTGCTCCTTTCCTTGTTCTGAGCCTCAGTTTCCCTTCCCTAAGCAGATAAAAATCAAGTGTGGAAGGGGCTGTGTGGTGCAGCAGTCATGTGCACAGCTCTGGCCTCCGTCCCAGCTCGGCCACTGCAAGCCCTGACCTAGGGCTAGTGACTTGACCTCTCTAAGCCTCAGCTAATGCACCTGGAAAAGTGGAAAACAGCGATACTGATAGCACCTCTGCTGAGTTAAAGGAGGACCCTTGTGGAGGACTTGTCACAGCGCCTAGCCTGTCAGAAGCCCTCTGTGAGTGTCAGCTGCTAACCCTAGGCAGAGCTGCAGCCCTGGGAAAGTCAGCTCCTCCATGGGAGGCCTTATGGGCTGAGTGATTGATGGGACCCTAGAAAGTTCCATGTGGTGGGGAGGGATACGGGAAGAGGCTTTGGGGAAGGCAGCACACCTGAGCCCGCCTTCCCTCCCTCTGGCCCCTGGTCTCCCACACTCATCCTCAGAGTTCCCTGTGGCCTGGGTGAGGCCACCTAACAAAGGCACCCTTGTACAGGTCTGTTTGTTTTGGTAAATTTCCTGAGTACCTCCCTGGGGTGGCCCAGTAGCCTGCGAGGAGCTGACCTGGAAGCCACAGAATCACATTGTTTAGTTGTCACCTTGGTCTCTCTCTGTTCCCACCATGAGCTCCAAAGATTTGGCCAATTTTTTCCAGTTCTCAGCTCCTGGGTCTGGACCTAACAGCATAGGGAGTAAGCTCTCTCCTTGTCCTTAAACGGTAGCTGTGGGCTATAGTGGAGTTCCTTCATAAAGGAAGGGGAAGGAAACCGATATTCACTGGGCACCTACTATAGGACTACTTACGGGCCACTTAATACTGACCACCCCCTGTGAAATAGGTATTATTACAGCCCCTTTTACAGAAGAGGAAACAGGCTCAGAGGAGGTGTTTTTTGTTATTGTTGCTGTTGCTGCTTTTTTTTTCTCTTTAATGTTCCCCCACATCACACAGCTACTAAGGGGGGAACCAGAATTTGCATCTGGATCCCAAACCAAACCACTGAGATTTGGGGATTGGTCACCAAAGGTCTACTCCATTCTCTTGGAGCCCCTGACAGCCTCTCTTGCTGAGGTGTAACTAGCGCCCTCCTTTACTCTCTTCATCTCCAGATGCTAAAGATGGCTTGGTGATGAAGTTAGTGACCCAGGTCACTAACATTTTTACACCTGGGGACCCTTCCTGGTGCTTGAGAGGAATAGTTCGAACACAAAGTAAAAAAGAGTAAAGGCATGAAAAACAGCATCTCAGTAAATGCAAGACAAGAGCATAAACAGGTTCTCTGCTTCTGCAGCATTGTTTATTACACAAAGGGAAACCTACGAGGATTTTTTTAAACAAAATTCAAGGCTGCAGGACTCACCTCTGAGGCTGATCCATCTTAAATACTAGTAGGGGGAGGAGGGCTCCTGTCAGAGCCTCCCACCCCCTTTCTGAGTTTGGACCCGCGGGGCAGTGTAGCTTTCCTTTGAGGGTATGTGCAGAAACCCGTGGGGTCCCTAATCTGGCCTTCTGCAGCACCGCCTAGGGAGTGCCAGGGTTGCCCTCCCCCTGCACCTGGGGGCAGAGTTCCAGGAAGCTTCCCACCTGAGTTAGGAGGTGAGCTCAAGTTCAGCATCTCCGCCTCAGCTCCAGGAAGCCACCCCGCATCACGTGGCTTCTGGAAAATGCACTCTCAGAATCGATCCAGAGAATAATCACAGGTAGAGAAAGTAGAGGGAGCAGCAATTCAAACTCACCCTTGACCCTGTGTCCCAGGAGGGGGTGAGGTCTGTCCAGCTCCCTGTTCCATTCCTTCCACGCCCACCTCCCTTCTGGTGCTTCCACCTCTTCGAGGAGGGCTGTCCTTCCTGAGTGGGACTTTTCATCCTTGAACTGGAGTGCCTTTGTGTGTGGTGGGGCAGGGCGGGAGGACCTGGGATCTCTCAGGCCTTCCAGAAAGCTGGAGCACATAAATACAAACCTAAAACCAGACGTTTCCTGCCAGCAGGCATCGACTGCCGCCGAGGCTTCAGCTGTGGCCAAAGAGGCCAGCGTGGCGAGCTCCCGTCTCAGATCCGGCTGATGGCAGGGAGTGGGGAGGTGCTAGCGTCCTGCTTGGCCCCCTTCACTGTCCTTTGCCCTCCCTGTCATCAAAGAGGTTGGGGTTCTCTGCCAGCGTGGCTCGGACCTTTTTCTTCTCCTTGAAGCGGCCCGAATTGGAGACTTTGACGTGCTTGCCCTTCGTGTTCTTGTCCACAATCTTCTCCAGGCGGGTGTTAAAGTTGCTGTTGGGGCCCCCGCCGTCAGGCCTTGGGGGCTCTGCACCGCCCTCAGTTTGGGTGTAGGTGTCAGGGATCTCATACAGCACCTTGGGAGTGGATTTCTTTTTCCGGAGGAAAGTCAGCTTCCACCAACCAACTTCGGTCATGGTGCTCTCACACCCGAGGGTGGGCCTTTCTGCAGGAGCAGGGGATGTAGAGAAAGGGGTCAGTGGGGAGAAGGGGCGGGGGCCCCTTTCTAGTCTCCCAAATGTGGGCTATTTTCATAGCCTGGGCTTGAAAGAATTGAAGCCTGGGGCCAAATGAACCCAGGATTCAGGTAGGTGATGCAATACTTTTGGGGTATATCAGGAGAGAGAGGGGTCTGGGGAAGGGGTGGCCAAGAAGACATCCATGGGGACGCCATCTGAGCCAGGCGGAGGGGACAATGGGACAACCAAACACCACTGCCAGGCAGCTTTGACACTCCAGGCCCCTTGGGGCTGCAGGAAGGGGAAGAGCTCGCCCCGGTCACACAGCAACCAGGCCTTTGCCACCTTCCCATGCTGTTCCTGCTATACCTCCAGGCGCTGCTGCCAGGAGTGGACAGATGGTCAGCTGGTATCAGACGGACAGAAACACCCTGTGCATTTTACTTGGGATTCATTACAAAATTAAATAGGATTTGTGATGGTCAGAGTAATTTGGACTTCCCAGTGGTCCCCACCACGACTAAATGAGCAGCCGGGGTTTTTCTAAGGGCAAGAAATGTCAGGCTGGGAGCGGGAAGTCCCGAGGACTGTTCCAGCCTCGTGACCTCTGGCAAGTTACTTCTCTGGACCTCGGTGTCCTCACCCATCCCTTTCAGCCCTAACATTTAGCTCTAACGTTAATCCCTGCCCATGAGGTAGACATGCTTTGCAAAGCATTCAATAACATTTATGCTAATGTGATAATTATTGAGGGGTGGGTCCCCTTCCCCATACGGCTTCCACAAGGACAGGGGTTTGAAGGGGACCTGAACATTTGGAAGGAAGTTTGGTGAGGCCAAGAGGTACATGTGGGATCTGGTTATCACAGGCTGGACCCTCCATAAGGATACCCCACAAGAGGTGGGGCAAGGGGGCTGAAATCCAGGCTTCACCCCTGTCGTGACACAGATGTGGCCTAGCCTTTTACTAATTTCCACAAAGTTGCCGCCTGAGCTAGTCGAAGTTCGGGCAGGTGAAGTTGCCTGGACACCACAAGAAGAAGAGAGCATAGACTGGAGGAATTAAGATCAATGAAAAAGCACGCAGAGCAATGAGAAATGGAGACATCTCTGGGCCCGGAGGGATTGGTGGTCTGGTTCTCAGGACTCCGTGGCATGGGCTGTGAAAGTCCTGAGGAGGCGGGTGCGATAGCCACAGTACACAGTACAGAAAGCTAGATGGTCAGCCGGCCTAAGCCCAGGCAAACGTGTCACCGCCTTTTAAAAACTGATGGTCTTGGGAATTGCCTGGCGGTCCAGTGGTTAGGACTCCACCGTTTCACTGCTGAGGGCCCGAGGGCCTGGGTTCAGCCCCTGGTGGGGAACTAAGATCCCGCAAGCCATGCGGCGTGGCCAAAAAACCCAAAAAACAAACAAAAAAACCCTGATGGTCTTAACTACATTTACATTTTCTAAAAAGACCAGAAAGAAATATGACAAATGATTAATATTGGTTCTCTTTATGTAGAAGGAATAGGGGATGTTTTCTCCTCTCCATTTATTTATTTATTTATTTATATTTTATTTATTTATTTTTAGCCGTACGCGGGCCTCTCACTATTGTGGCCTCTCCTGTTGCAGAGCACAGGCTCCGGACGCGCAGGCTCTGCGGCATGTGGGATCTTCCCGGACCGGGGCACGAACCCGTGTCCCCTGCATCGGCAGGCAGACTCTCAACCACTGCGCCACCAGGGAAGCCCTCCTCTCCATTTTTTGATTCCCAGATTTTCCATAATGAGTCTGGATTTCTTTTAGAGGGGGAGCATATCAAATTCAGAAAATATGAAAGTGGGATACTGACCTAGGCTTGGAATGAATTGAGTGCCCGCCTCCATGGCCCCCTTGTTGCGGTCATCCCCTGGCCCTCCGTATACCCATCCCCTTGCCCAAAGCAGATACCCAGTGGATTGCTTCCCACCTCCCTGTGCAGGAAGCAGATCCCACTTTGCCAGCTCCGTCCCTCGAGTTGAGCTCAAGTAGCAAGAGAATCCCAGGGAGATCTAGTGCAGCTCCCACTTAGAAAGTGAAGGAGGGGGCTTCCCTGGTGGCGCAGGGGTTGAGAGTCCGCCTGCCGATGCAGGGGACACGGGTTCAAGCCCCGGTCTGGGAAGAGCCCACATGCCGCGGAGCGGCTGGGCCCGTGAGCCATGGCCGCTGAGCCTGTGCGTCCGGAGCCTGTGCTCCGCAACGGGACAGGCCACAGCAGTGAGAGGCCCGCGTACCGCAAAAAAAAAAAAAGAAAGAAAGAAAGAAAGTAAGAAAGTGAAGGAGGGGTGAGTAGTCAGATAAATACCTTCAGGGCACCCTGGAGAGGTGAGTGCACCAAGGGGATAGCCTGAGAGCTTTGCTTTGGCAGTCTGCCCCACCTGGGCTGAGCACAGCCTTGCACAGAACTTGGTGTGCCAGAATGGGTTTCTGGAAGGAGCTGTGGGGAGGGCTGGGAAGGAGGGACAGGGCGCTTGCTTGGCCTGTGGGTGCCCCAGTCACCACCTGGTCCGGGGCAAAGTCCACAGCCCCACCACCTCCCACTGCCAAGGAACTTGGGGAGTGGAGGATCCAGCTCCTGAACCGACAGTAACCACCAAACTGTGTCAGAAAACCACAGAGAGAGGTCGGAATAGCCCTCGGACCCTGCGCTGGAGCCTCTACCACGGCACCAAGGCATTGGTGCCCTTGTCTCCTGGCCTTGGAGAACTCTGGCCTCTCCAAGATGCTTTTCGCCATGCCTTGCTATCCCTCCTGTCCAGGAGGACATGCGCGCACCAGTAAGCAGGTGTTTGGCCCTCTAGGCAAGCCTGACCTATGGAAATCTGAACTTGCGGAACAGATAAATTAGTGGACTATTCTTTGTTTTACAAGATAACCTGGCTATAAGATTCTTTTACATAGTGAGCTACCCCAAAGTAGTGTAAAATCTGATTTGCTTTAGAAAAAAAAAAAGTGACACGACAGCCAAACTTCCCAGGTATCCAAAGTTGCAAAGAGCCAGATGCCTACAGCCACATGTCCAGGCCTAGTCACAGGAGGCTAGGGAGGCCTGGGGGAAGGGAAGGTACTTGGGATTTTGAACAGACTCGGCGTTTGGTGACACGTCTGCTTGTGCAGGACCCTGAGCAGGCCGCGCTGAGGGCAGGGCCCTTGCCCCGGGGCCTTGCCATCCATGGGAACCCACAAAGGGCCTCACGGGACAGCCTGCCCCCCCGCCCCCCGCCTATGGTGGTCAGCACCCTGGCATGCATGTAGGCACCCCAGGACAGCCCCCACCATGCCAGCTGGGTTCTGTGAGCTCTCCTAAGGGCCTTGCCCAGACTGGGCTAGGCTCCTTCTGAGCTGGGACAAGTTAACCATTGACAGGGGTGGAGGTGGAAGGGTGGAGGGGGATTGAGGGAGCAAGTCAGCGTCCATGTTGCAAGACAGAACTCAGAACCCCCATCCCCCATCTCTCTGCAGGGCCCCTGTGGTATTTCTTCACTCTGCATGAGACTGGGGTACCCTGGATAGGACAGGGAGATGTTCCTACTGGCCAGCCAGAAACATCCTCCAGGCTGGGGGGTAGGAGGTGGTAGGCTCCAGCTCACAAGAGTTAACAGAGCCCCGCTCTGGAGTTAAACTTTCCCAGAAGGAGCTCTGTTGGAGGCCTGGATTGACTCCAAGAAGCCAGTGGGATGAGTGGAGTTCTGCCTGCCCACCTAGTGAGAGATGGGAGACTGCGTGCCTGGTTCCCCCTCCCAGCTGGGCCTGTCAGCTGTGGAGGCAGAACTGGGTCCCCTGACAGAGGTCTGTGCCTTGGTTTCCCCTCCTGCCCACCCTCTGCCTGTACCTGTGATCCCGATCGCTCCGGGCTGAAGGCGAGAGCTTCCCTAGAGAAGGAGCTGAGTGGAGGAGCTGCCCCGAGGGAGGCTGAGGGAGGTAGGGGTGCCTCCGGGGTGCCACGCCAGGCAAGGCTCAGGCCAGGAGAGCTGAGTAGGAGCAGCTGTGCGGCAGGTGAGAGAGAAACAGGTGCAGGAGCGGGTACCTGCTCAGCGGCGCTGCAGCTCCAGGAGTCAAGGTGAACCTGAAACCCAGCCCTTCCCGGCTGAGTAAACAGAAGCAGAGGCTGGCTTGCCTGATGAATATTCATCACCCCAGAAATCCAACCCCAGCACCCCCCGCACCCACCCAGAAGCCAGGGTCCTCCAGGGACCGCCCAGCCAGGAGGAGGCAATCCTGAGAGAAGTCTGAGGTGGGGAGAACACAGGAGCCTCTCTCCTCAGTTTCCCCACTCTCAGGTGCCTGTTGGCAACCCCCAACAATAACCAAGGTCACCCCCACCCATTTCATGCCCCAAAGAGATCAGACCCTTCCCCAGAATGAACTGCCGCCTGGACGTTGCCCCGGGGCACAGTCGGGGAAGGGTTAAGGGCCGCTGCTCCCATTGGCTGGGAGGGACGGGGTGCACCCAGCTCCTTTGAACTCCGGAGTCGAAACCAGTCCCTGGTTAAACTGGTTGGCAGACCGGTTCCCAGGCTCTCCTCCCAGGCTGTCCGCTCCTACCCCAAGCCTCAGGCGGGTGCTGGGTGGGGGGCTGTGGCTGCCTCCTGACCTGAAGGGCCTTCCTCAAGATCTCCCTGGAGGTGGGGTTGAGCGTCACCAGCCCCTCCTTAGGCCAGGTTCTCCAGACCCACCACAGCCTCAAGCATCCTCATCCCCTGCTCCCTCGCTTAGAAGTAGGCTTCAAAGACCTTGAAATCCTACCTTCCTCCATGCACCGTGTCCCGTTCCAGGCTCAGAGCGAGGCACTGGGTAGAGAAAAGGCATACGATTCCCCCTATCCCTGGCTCTCCCTCCAAGTTACATTCTAAATTCTAATTAACCAACTCTCAAACCTGCCCTACCATCTCCAACCCTGCATCTACTTGGTTCAGCTTCTCATGGCCTCTTGAGTACGTGTTTGCCTCCATCCTAAATATCCCCTTGTGCCCCTAGGCCTCAGGCGGACAGTCCTTCAAAGGCTCCCCACGGCCCATAGTGGAACAGACTTGGCCTGGCCCTCCTAGGAAGGGGCCCCTGCAGCCTCCTCTCCCAACGCTCCCTGAATGTGCACATGAGGTCTTTCTCTGCCTACCTTCCTGGGTGCAGAAGCTGCCTAACAGGACGAGATTAGGAATGGCCTCTCCACACCCTGAGTAAACCAAGACAAACTCCTATCCATCCCTCAAGGCCTAAATTAATTATTATGCCCCCTGCTCCACCAGGAATTTTCTTGTTCCTACAGGGCTTACTCACATGCTTCTATTTAACATGCTATATACCATGACTGATTAAATATGTATACACACACACATATATAGTATTACTTTTTAATTTATTTATTCATTTGTTTATTTGGGGCTGCTTTGGGTCTTCGTTGCTGCTTATGGACTTTTACTAGTTAGGGCGAGCTGGGGCTACTCTTCGTTGAGGTGCATGGACCCCTCATTGCGGTGGCTTCTCTTGCTGTGGAGCACAGGCTCTAGGTGCGCAGGCTTCAGTAGTTGCAGCACGCAGGCTCAGTAGTTGTGGTTCACAGGTTCTAGAGTGCAGGCTCCGTAGTTGTGGCACACGGGCTGAGTTGCTCCGCGGCACGTGGGATCTTCCCGGACCAGGGCTCGATCCCGTGTCCCCTGCATTGGCAGGTGGATTCTTAACCACTGCACCACCAGGGAAGTCCACATGTATAGTATTGTAATGATCTAGTCATGTATTTGCCTCCCTTATAGAATGTTAGCTCTTGGAGCCCAGAGTTATCTATCACTGATACTGACCTGATATGTAGCAGGTACTTAATGCAAACTTTGAAATACAAATAAGAGGGACTTCCCTCGTGGCACAGTGGTTAAGAATCTGCCTGCCAAAAAAAAAAAGAATCCGCCTGCCAATGCAGGGGACACTGGTTTGATCCCTGGTCTGGGAAGATCCCACATGCTGCAGAGCAAATAAGCCCGTGCGCCACAACTACCGAGCCTGCACGCCACAACTACTGAAGCCTGCGCGCCTAGAGCCCACGTTCCACAACAAGAGAAGCCACCGCAATGAGAAGCCCGTGGACCGCAACAAAGAGTAGCCCCTTTCACCGCAACTAGAAAAAGCCCGCGCGCAGCAATGAAAACCCAATGCAGACAAAAATTAATTAATTAATTACTTAATTAAAAAAATACAAATGAGATACAGAAGTATTGTCTTTAAGAAATTCTTAATGTAACCACTTGCCTTTGTCCTACTCTCCCTGGGGCAGGTAAATGTGAAAGAAAACACATTTATGTCACTTCTTGTGGTTTCAGCTACACCAGGCTTGCTGATATGTTATCAGTTCCCCTGGGGTCTATGTGAATTGAGGATATTACTTTGTAAGGTTCTCCTGCCTCTCATGAGGGGTACACACAGTTGTCCCAAGAAGGTTTCTAGATCTGTCACTTTCTCTGAAAGCCTAGTCTATTTGAGAGTGGATGTCCAGTCCAGAAGACACCAGAAGAGGCTAAAAACTTAACTCAGGTGTTGGGAAGATACTGGAAGGATGATGGGATGACACTATCCTGGAGGACTGTAACCAAGGGCCAGGACAGCATTTCCATCTGTAGGAGGAGGGGCTTGTGCTGGAAGTACTCCCTGCCCCCACTCCAAAATTCAGGGCTTTCTGATGTGTGGGACCCAGGAGGGCAGAATTCTGTTCTCTCAGCTCCAGTCTGGAGGATGCGCCCTGGTGGGTGGGATTCAGTGGATACCCACGTAGCCTGCCCTTCGAAGAATGCCAGCAGGACCAGGTGCAGGGGTAGAGGCCCGCCCCAGCTCCCCTTCCTGGGAGGGACCAGCCTGGGAAGTCAGGCCCAACCCCTGACCTTTGGTAGGTTTGTTTCTGGGAGGAGCAGGGTTGGGAGGGGAGTTTGAGATAAGGCTATAAACTATGAATATCCCTTAAACAGATCACCCCCACAAGGCTGCTTTATTGCTTTCTACAATTTTCCACCTTTTAATGCACCTTCCTAAAACTAGGTTCAAGTATGATATTCCAAATACAAACATGCAATGTGCACTTTTTCAGAAATGTGTCCTTGTGGAGTAAAGCAAGTAAAATATACCTAAGGGAGCCTCAAGGACCTTGGTGCCTGTTGGGACATGCAGCCACCAGGCCCCACTGGATTATAGATCTCTAATCTGGCCCAGCAGATCATTCCTCTTATTGACCTCTGCCCAGGGAGTAGATCTAGGCTCCAGGGAGAAGAGAGGGGCTACATTTCTCCTCAGCACTCCCCCTCCTCTGGAAGGCCAGAAGATGGGAGATCCTGGGGGGGCAGGGGTTGGGCAGCTTGGCTGAGGGGATAAGTGGGGCCAGGCCAAAGACTGGCCTCTGGAAGCTACACCAGGCGCAGCTGGGAGGTGGGCAGGGGCAGGCCTGAGGTGGATGTCGAGGTTGCCATTGGAGGGGCTGCCGTTGCTCCCCTTCAGGGACACCTCAGTGGGGACTGGGAATACGAACAGCCAGTGTCCCAGGGACTGCCCCAAATGCTCTACGTGTGAGAACTCGGGATCCTCACTGCCATCCCAAGGTAGAGCCTCTGAGTGGGTTCACCAACTCGCATACCCACCAGCAATTTTCCCGTTACTCTTTGTTGGTTCCCTGCGGCTAATGTAACAAATTACCACAAACTTGATGGATTTAAACAACAGAAATGTATTCTCTCACCAGTTCTGGAGGTCAGAATTCCAAAATCAGCTTCACTGGCCAAGACCAAGATGTTCCTCCTCCCGTTTCTGGTGGCGGTAGGCATTCCTTGGCTTGTGGCCGCATCATTCCCGTCGCTTCCTCCATCCTCACATCACCTTCTCCTCTTCCATGTGTCCAATCTCTCTCTGCCTCTTTTTTTTTTTTTGCGGTACGCGGGCCCCTCACTGCTGTGGCCTCTCCCGCTGTGGAGAACAGGCTCCGGACGTGCAGGCTCAGCGGCCATGGCTCACGGGCCCAGCCGCTCCACGGCATGTGGGATGTTCCCGGACCGGGGCTTGAACCCGTGTCCCCTGCATCGGCAGGCGGACTCTCAACCACTGCGCCACCAGGGAAGCCCTCTCTGCCTCTCTTTTACAAGAACACTTGGGAGAATATTTAGGGTCCACCCAGATAATCCAGGATGATCCTTACTTAATCACATCTGCAAAGACTCTTTTTCCAAATAAAGTCACATTCACAGGTTCCAGGGTTTGATGTGGGCATCTTGCGGGTCGGCGGGGAGCATTTGTTGGCCTGCCTCACTCTTCATTTTGACCACCTCTGTATTGTCAGACTGTGGTAGACAGTGAATGTGCCAACCAGACTCCCCCCACCCCGTGAGGAAGGACTTGCTGCCTTCCTTGGCAGTTGGCCTCCAGCTGTCAGCTCTTTCAGGGCCTGCTGCAGCTGCAGAGAGCACCTCTGCCAAGAGCCTGCCCTTCTGGGGCAGCCTGCATCTGGGGATATAAGGACCAGCCATTTCAGCCCCACGAAGGGCACTTGGACGGGCAATAGTCACTCCAGAGCTCTCCACGAAATTGACTGAAGCTTTGTCAGGCCAGCATTACGGTTGGATTTCTTCCACTGCTCAATCCTACTTCTGTCTGGTTCCTCTCACAGGGAGTGATGCCTAGTAAGCATCTTGCCCCCCAAACTTCAACTACTTCTGGAGAACACAAACTGGGTCACAGACGTTATAATATTTGCCAGTATGATGGAAGTGAAGTAGCAATTTTTGTGTCTTATATATTTTCATTTCCCTAGTGCACTGGATTGAATAGTGTCCCCCAAACTCATGTCCACCTAGAACCCCAGAGTGTGACCTTATTTGGAAATAGGGTCTTTGCAGACGCAATTAGATAAGCTGAGGACAAACTAGATTAGGGCGGGCCTTAAACCCAAGGACTAGTGTCCTTACAGGAGGAGAGAGACAGAAACACGCAGGGAGAATGCCATGTGACGACAGAAGCAGAGATTGAAGGGATGCAGCTGCAGGTCAAGGAACGGCAAGGGTTGTCTGCAACCACCGGAAGCTGGGTGAGAGACCAGAACAGACTGTCCCTCAGAGCCTTTGGAAGGAATCAACCTTGCTGACACCTTGAGAGCAGACTTCCGGCTTCCAGAACTGTGAGAGAATACATTTCTGTTATTTTAAAGCACCTAGGTAGTGGTAATTTGTTACAGCAGCCCTAGCTAACTATACACCTAGTTACTAGTAAGATTGACCAGCTTTTCATACATGTATTGGTCATTTGGGTATCCTGTTCTCTGAAAGCATCCTTTCTCAACATAGAAAAGCTTCTCCCCTTCCCCATATGATTGTTGTCCTTCTAGCATGCACTAAAATAATACAACTGCATTTATGGATTCCTGGACTCTGCACAATTCTATAGCTTTCCAGGGATCTGCTGCCTATTGGTTGGGAACCCTGATCTACAGGATTAAATTTCAACCCTTTGTCATGGACCCCAGTATTCTTCATGCTCTCACCTTGCCAATCTCTTCAACCTAATTTCTCTCTCCATAAACATCCCATGTTCCCACAATAAAGTTCTGGAAGAGTCATGCTCTCTCTTACCTATGTGCTTTACCCATGTTATTTACTCCTCCTTCCTAGAATGATGCCCATCACTTATACACCTCTCCTCTGTCCTCTCCCTTCTACCA